AAAAAAAAAAAAAAAAAAAAGAGGTCACTTCTCTTTAAAAAACAAAATTTACAGTTAAAAACACAGAGTTTTAAGATGCAAACTAAACATTGAGAGTGACAGTAAAGTGGGGAGATCATTTGGACTGAAGAATTTTCAGTGGAAAGGGAAGCTTCCAAATAGAATTTTTTAATGGTCAAATTAAAATAATGATGTTGGAAATGAGAACTGTGGATAAAGTATATTGGCTTAGAGAGGAAGTAATTATAAAGGAAATTGTCCTGAAAAGAATTACAGTGCTAAAGAGAACCTAAAACTGTGGCAAAGTTCATACACTCAGAATAGTAGTCCGTCAAATAAATCGACCATTTTCTTCACATTTCTGAAGGTTTTATCATCATTTGTTGAGTACAAATGTATTCTAAGGTTGAATACAAATCCATTATATCCTCTGTTCCTTGACATGTAACATTTTATGTCTGAGAAATAAAATTTCTAAATTTCATTTAGAAATTATGAGGGATATTATGTAATAAAGGTAAAAAATGGCTGGTTCCAAAGCCTGAGCTTTTCTTCAAAATGAAAGAACAATTGAGCCTCAGAAGAAATATACATTTTCTTGGAGAAAAAGATACTAGGAACAAATGTACCTGGTTCTCTTGTTTGGCTTTGGAAAACTGTTCTTGGAGACTGTCATTCTCATGAGCCAAGATATCTCTTTCCCTGGCAATTTGAGCCAGTTCATCATTTGTTTCATCCAACTGCCGACGCATCCTGGAAATGTCTTGTTCACACATGATTAGCGCTTCGGTAGACTGTCTATTGCACAAATCAAACAGTACATAAGAAGAGACATTGTACCAAAACAGAATAACAAATTGTCACAGGACAGAAGAGGGGCAGGCAGCACGGAAGCATCTGAAGAGTTTTAAACACATTTAAATTTATAGGAACAAATCCTGTGAAAACAGTGCATCGGCGCTTCTCCATGTGGCCCGCGTCTCACTGCGAGAGAGGGCTGCTACCTGTACCTAACGGCCAGTGACCAGCCAAGCATTTCAAAGCCCTGACATTCAACTAGGAGAGCTTTCATCCCACCTCTAGCTGCCTGACTGCCTCGCAGGCAGGTTCCTCCTCCTCTGCCCTCTGCCCTCTGCCCTCTGCCNGCCTCTAGCTGCCTGACTGCCTCGCAGGCAGGTTCCCCTTCCTCTGCCCTCTGCCCTCTGCCCTCTGCCCTCTGCCCTCTGCCCTCTGCAAACACAAGGAATCTGAGGGCTTAACTCTTAGCCTCCTGATTCTTACTCTGCGCCTTCACTCAGACAAACACTATTCACATCCATGGCTCCCAGCCCCATCTCTCCCCAGATGACTCTGAAATCATTACCTTCAGCCTCGGCCTCTGCCTTACACTCCCGATGCTTATATTTAACTGCTTATGAGATGCATCTACAAGAAGGGCTCAAGGCTCTTCCAATTCAGAGGAAAATCATCTTTTTCCATATTTTCTACGTGCCCAGTATTCATCTCCAGCCTAAACCTGGCATTTTCCTAGCTTTTCTTCCTCACAAGCACCCACCACGGTCCCCACTCCCCAGCCCCAGTCTATCACCATTCTTCAGCGNGAGGAAAATCATCTTTTTCCATATTTTCTACGTACCCAGTATTCATCTCCAGCCTAAACCTGGCATTTTCCTAGTTTTTCTTCCTCACAAGCCCCACCACGGTCCCCACTCCCCAGCCCCAGTCTATCACCATTCTTCAGCGCGGGTAATCTTTCTAACGCAACAATCTCCTCAAAATTCCTTAACGATTTATATCCCAAAGGGTAAAAGCAGGACTCATTTGTCTACAGCACAGGCCTCTGGGTCCAGCCTTTCCTCCCTCCACATCTCTCACCCTTCGGGTTCCAACACTCACCTACTAGTCATTCAAGAGGCTCCTGAACATTATCTGTGGTCTTGTGGTTCTTTGCTTTCCTTTCTCCTTTAAATGCCCCTTCCCCTCCTTTCCCTTCCCTCCCCTCTTCTTCCCCTCCCCTCACCCCTCCCCTTTCCTCTTTCCTTTCCTCTTTCCCTGGCAAACGCCAACCCCTCTTTTACTTCCCTTCTCAGACTTAGGCCTCCTTCCAATATTAGAGTTATAACTCTGTACATAACACTAAGCTCCGTTTCTTCCTATCCTTGTACCTAACATAGTACTTTGCCCCTAGTAAATACTCAAATTCTTGTGGGACGAATGGTTTACCTTGATGCCTGCTCCATCTCAGCAATGATGTTCTTCATGCCTGAAATGGTCTTTTCCTTGAAAAGTAATATAAGCATGACATAAAAATTATCTTAAACTTATTTCTGCTAAAACTGAATGAACAAAAAGAAATTCCCTCCCCCTTTTGATTTCCATTTGGGTTTAAACATTTATGCTCTATTCACCTTTCCTACACTTTAAAATTGAAGCCTAATATATCAATGTGAATATTTGCACTACATAAAACAATAGGTTGTGCTCATTAAAGCAAAGACTACACTACACTTGGGTGACTGATATGAGATCAATATATGAAACACTGTGTTAAAGCTCTGGGCAGCCACCCAGCAACACAGGAACCCGGGCACACTCTGTACTAGGAGGCGAACCACTGGTTTGCATTAGGGTGATCTCCATGGGGGGCAGGGCTGATTCCCTTCCTCACCCCACCTTCTGAAACCCAGGAACGTGAATCATGTGAAACTAAATTTAGTTGTTAAGAACAATATCTTTGATCAGGGATATTATTTATATTAGTCATCAAGAGCCTCTTCAAAAAGCTGCTAGAATGGAGCTACTTATACTATGAAGTTTAGGTGTGAGTTAAATATTTGAGGAAGTAAGCATTAGATCTAGGGCAAAAAATAAATAAAATAAACTACCGATACTGTCCCTTTTCAAGGGTGTGGAGAGAGGTAGATGAGGGGAGCCAGTCAAGACTGAAACGGGTGTGATCATCTTCATGCGTCAATACTATTCCCACAATTCCTTTGAAAATTCTCCTTGATGGTGAACTAATTACAGGCGCTGTTCACACTCAGGCTAACATTAGCCCTGAAAAAGTAGGAAAAATGTTCTTTCCCTATGTAACTAGATTTCACTTTGCCCTTTGAATTTTGAAACCCTTAGGAAGCAAGGAAACAAGATGAAAACGGAAACCTGTATTTCCAGCCAGTTCTGCTCCTGTTCATTAGACAGCTTAGCTGTGTGTGTGTGCATGTGCCTGCACACATGTGTATGCGTTGGCTTCCTTTGTTCATGGGGCTCCTCACCAGGGGAGTATTAGCTCTGGCTTCCCATTCTGCTTCCCAGTAGCGTGGTACAGGTCCCACACCTGGCAGTCATGGATACTGGAATATGGTGAACATACCCATTGGCAAAGCAGTTCAACCCCTCTAAGCAGAAGCCAACAGAGGAAACACTCCAGAGAGAAAATACTGCTTAAAATGGAATATTTACACTTGCTTTTGAAATACGATTTAATATGCTTCTAATTAAATTCTGAAAAACACTAACTGGACTTCTAGTGTTTCTGAAAGTGATTACTTGGTTAAACTTAAATATGGTTTATAAACCTAAAAAGGACTTTATCAATACACATTCATCTTGAAAGTAAGATAGTCTCAGAAAATTGTAAAATATCCAGGGCAACAAAATTATTGGGTAGAATCCAGTAATACATCCTACCCGCCCCATTTCCTCTTCTTATTGCCCTAATACCACCATTTCCAACTGTTGAAAGCTATGCCATCACTACCAATTTAATAATTCTGTACAACTTCAATATGTTTGTCCAGCCAGAGACATGCAGTCAAGTTAATTGTTAAAAATTCAAACTGGACAAGATGGTCATAAAGCCACTTACAGAAAAGAAACAAACTAAAATATTACACAAATAATTCTGGCTTTTATTACTCAAAAATCTGTGCACTTGCTAATGAGTTTTCTAACTTTAACTGGTAGTAAGTTGTGGGGCATCTTTTTAAATTACCAATAAAATAAAAAAACTTCACCTTATTCATTAGAGTATAGACTTTTCCATAGGAATTTCTGGAATCTCCAGATTAGTCTGTGTAATTACTGCTTTTCACTATAAGGTCCTTGTAAATTGAGCTCTAAAATATCACTGTAGAAAACATTTCCTTTCAATGTCTAACACTGCTTTAAAAAGCTTTCCCCCCTCAGAGGACAGACGTGTTCATGTTCATGATCTTACATTACATGCAGTTCCTGATTTCAAATAGACTTGCAACTCAATTGCCTTGTGAAGGAAAAGGTATTTTGGTACGATGAGCAGAGGGGAAGAAACGTGAGGTACAGATACAGCAGAGGGAAACGAGAGTCAGAAGGATCTGCATAATTTGTTTCTAAGTGCTAATGTTTTTACAGAAAACCATGGTTAACTATCCAAAAAGTAGTTTTTAAGTATGAGGAAAAATCTCTACCCCCAAAAGCCATAGAATTTTCAAAACTATTAAGGTATAACTTATAAAGCAATGAGTCAGCCTTTGAAACAACTGAACCAAAATTTACCATCTCGTGCACTTTGATGGCTTCAGTTAGGCTCACGATTCCCAAATCTATTAAATTCAATTCAAAGTTCTCTCCAAACCTAAAAGCCCAAGAGCCTATGAGTATTTCAACCACATGTCCAAAAGATGTTGGTAACCTTCCTCTCTGAGCCCGTTCTGTTCTGTGTTTCCTACTTCATGCCTGACAACGATTCACGTGGCGCCTCGGTCAGAAAGCACATCTTGTCAGTCTTACTCCCAGAATAGATGTTTCTCCCACAGACACTGCCACTATCCTAAAACAGTTCTTCTCATTTTACTCCTAACTAGTGTCCTTGTCACCATTCTCATTTCCCTATAACTCATCTTTTATGTGGATTAACAAGTGCCAGAATGTTTCTTTTAAAATAAAGATCTAACTGTAATATTTTGTTTACATTATTTCATTGATTCCCTATACTGATGACAGTTTAAACTCAACATTTATTAGATTTTTATAATTTGTTGCTTACCTCTCCCATCTCATCTATTACCCCCTTCCTCCACCCCATGCTTGCCTCTTTGCAATCTATTCTCTGGACGTACTAAACTATCAAGAAATCCCACGACATTCTCTTATGAAAGCCACTGGGCTCTCCTATGAGTTGCTCTGCCTGTCTCGACTCCCTTCTCTAAAGGCGTTCTGCCTGTCTGGTCACCCTTTCTCTCACTGTACCCTTCCTCCCAATCTTTTCCTCGCTAATTCCTGTCAGTTTTCAGGGCAGCCCAGGCACCATCACCTCCTGGAAAGCTTTCTAGATCTTCTTCCACACCTAGTCCAACCCCCAGGTTAAATCATGTGCGTTTCTGCCAAACTCCTACCGCACAATGTACATATATCATTATGGCACTTAGCACATTCTATCACAAAAGCACCTTTATTTCTTTCTCCCATTTACACTACAGGCATTGGAAGGCATGCCCACTCCTCCTCAGTTTCTAACAGAATACACCTGGAATGGGCCAAGAAATGCTTCTTTTATGGGTGAATAGATAAATGAATGAATTAGTTCCCTTAGTGAGGGGCAAGGCCTTATTCCAATGAGGATGCCTTTGCTTAAGGCATTTGTGGAAAACAGTTTTAGAACTGCCTTCAGAATCACTTTATGAGCTAGAAAGGGGTATGAATATTTCCCTGCCTTTTTGGCAACGCCTTTTATGTAATTCGAACAACAAAAACTGAGGGATGNTTTTTTGGCAATGCCTTTTATGTTGTTCGAACAACAAAAACTGAGGGATGGAGATGATCATCTAGCTTTATTTATCAGCTCCATATGGTCTAGTCTCAATGGCTAAAGACGACGTAAAAACGAGCATCTAGTTCTAAACACAATTACAAAGGCAGTTTTAATGGAACAAACATATTGCCTCCCAAGGTGGCTACCTGAAGATATAAGTTCTGGTGAGCTTTTATAAAGAAATCAATCTCACTGCTCCCTTTTTAATTTGAATATTTGGTATTTCAATTAGTTATTGTCAGTACATGTTAATCACAAATTAATGACAGAAAGTACATATTTCTTTAGACTGTCCTAATATATTTCAAAATTAGATTTTAAAGTTTCAGCTCTCTAGAAAATATTTGAGAGAGTCCTATTATTTTATTCAGATTCAAGCTCAAACTTTTCTTTTAAACCAGTTTTCAGAACATACTTTCATTGCCAAACTCTCTCCAAGGGATGCAATATTCTCCGACTTTTTATCCAAGCATGCTTGCAGGCATTCCTTTTCTTTAGCCATATCGTTGAGGGTTGCACCAAGAATGCTGATTTCTTCTCGCTGGGCAATACTTTGCCTTGTAAAATTATCTAAATATGTAATCACAAAGGCATTTTTTAATCAAGATAATTTTTTTCCAGCTCAAGCAGACTGGAATACTTTTCAAAGGAAGATCTCCTATATTTTAATCAATGACTAAAAATAAGTACCATGTCCCAAATAAAACATGGCTTCTGTGGTTAGTGATTAAAAACTAAGAT